GCGTCGCTCCGGTTCAGCCGAGAAGTCCAGATCCAAACATGCAGACAACTTCTGTTCATCAGATTATATTTGGAACCCTTGATCCTCGCTAAGACTGACATGCACAAAGGTGCGCACTGCTTTGCAGCTCGCCCAACAGGCAGCACAAGCCTGCCTATCGGAAACACGCTTGCAAGACCATGACTCCATACTCACTCTACGATACCCTTTATGGGAAAATGGCGGGACTTTCTGACTGCGCATATCCAAAGTTAAAGTAGTTTCAAACGCCGGTCAAGTCGATGTGAATATTGCTCTAAACGGATTTTGAGCTGTCCTCCGAGCTAAGTGATTATTTTGCAGACGTTTCGTTGCCAGACAAGGCACCATCATCAGTGCGGCTTCAGCGCCTGGTTCGCAGTGCCTCGTAAGTGACTACAATATCCAGGTGCTTATTGATCGAGTTTTGCTTTGAATGCCAAGCTTCAATGAACGCACGTGCTTGCCGGCTTTTAGCCGTTCCGAGGATGGTGGCGTGCTCCAGATCGAACTGATGGTTCTCGGCATCCATACGCACTGACATCAGAGAGTTCTGATCGTGGCGACGAATGACCAGGCTGTGTTCGTGTAGCATTGTGCCAAGCTTTCTTCCAGTCTGTCCCACGTAGAATTTGTTACAGTTCTGGCAGCAGATCTTATAAATCACACCTGTCTTCCTCTTTGCGAAATGTTTCCGCAGTAAACTCTTCAAAGTGAAAGATAGACGTAGCAAAGAGGAAGAGACAGGTGTGATTTATAAGATCTGCTGCCGGAACTGCGACAAATACTACGTGGAACATTTGAAATGGTTGAGAATATCCGTAGCTCGGGATGTGGGTGTGGGTATTGCACTTCTCTCCGGGCTGAATGATTATTTTGCAGACATTCCGCTGCCAGACTAAGGCAACATCGTCAGTGCGGCTTTAAGGTCCTACTTCGCAGAGCCTCGTAAGCGACTTCGAGATCTATGTGCTTATTGATCGAGTTCTGCTTTGAATACTAGGCCTCAATAAACTCACGTGCTTGCCGGCTTGTGGCTCTTCCGGGTATTTCGGCGTGCTCTAGGTCGAATTGGAAGCCTTCAGCATCCATATGCAGGGACATCAAAGAATCCTGACCATAGCGGGATGGGACACTGGAAGAAAGCTTGACGCAATGCTACACGAACACAGCCTAGTCATTCGTTGCCATGATCAGAACTATCTGATGTCAGTGCGTATGGATACCGAGAACCATCAGTTCGACCTGGAGCACGCCACCATCCTCGGAACGGCTAAAAGTCGGCAAGCACGTGAGTTCATTGAAGCTTGGCATTCAAAGCAAAACTCGATCAATAAGCACCTGGATGTTGTAGTCACTTACGAGGCACTGCGAACCAGGCGCTGAAGCCGCACTGATGAGGGTGCCTTGTCTGGCAACGAAACGTCTGCAAAATAATCACTTACTTCGGAGGACAGCTCAAAATCCGCATCCATACCCCGAGCTAGGGATATTCTTATTTAATGTTCTGAGCCCCTGGGCTGAAGCAGCTAAGATCGATTGGATTCCAGTCAACATCCGGATGTGCGCCATCAAATTGAGTGGCTCATTCAAAGCTTCCAGGTCTCGAGGATACAATAGGTGCCTGTTTGTCATTGCTGCCTACGCCCTAGAAACGGCTGTGCTGATACTTTAAAAGATGCCTCCTATGGTAAACACAACTACCTCATTGGTCACAGAAGCATGGACAGTGGTGTGCTGGATGGTGAGCTGAACACTCACCACTGATGAGCTGCATCTTGACAGCGAAGAATGTGTAGGCTCCAGTAACCAGAATAGGGAAGATGTCCGGCTAGTTCTCGCGAGCACTAAGTTCCGACACAACACTCGTCAAAGAGATACATGCCGCCCACCACACTACACTCCGAACTCTTGGTAGTCATGGGAAGCTATCCTGTCGCATCCGGGAAATGGGCAGCAGGAGACCAGGAATTGGCGGAACATGTCAACGTCCTATGAGAGCAAGAAAAAACCACAATTTAACAGGAGATACTGAATTCAATAATTTCGTGTGTTCTCCTCAGCTGTTTACAATTTGTGGAAAAGATAGGCTACATAGCAAGGGAGATCAAGTTGTAATGTTATCGGTGAAAATTTAAAGCGGTCGAAAATCGGTGAGTTCACGAGACCCGGTCGGAAGAAAGATGACACTAGCTTCATCAGGGTAGGGCGAGGATGGTCATGAAGTTCGTTTGGTTGCACAGACTTGGTTTCAACCGGCGAATCGCCGAGGCCTCAGCGAACTGAAGTAGATGGGGACTATTTTGTTTGTTGCTTACCTTAAACCCACCACGTGGGTTTTCGCATACAGGGCAATCAAGTACGTAGCGTGCAATAGAGCTAGTGGGTAGGCTCGGGCCATTTGTGACCGTACCGGGGGACGTGCTCTGCAATTCTCGCTGACAGCCTTCTCTCAGTTCTGCCAACGTACTTGCTACCGCAAGTACAGGTAAAAAGGTAAACGCACGAGGCGGTAACTTGAGAGTTCGGTCTGTCCAGGTTGGATATGAACAGCAGCCTCCTGACTTGGTGCAATGCCACTAGCTCAGCCGCGTATTAGCACTTCTTGATAAATTGACGAAGACGTTGTCGACATCTTCTGTCCACTTGGTCCCCTTTAAACGGCAGGGTAATAAATACCTTTTTCTTTGGAACATCTGTTGATGGTTTATCTTTCGGTTGTAAGCTCGCGTACCGTGCTATAAATCGCTTGGGATATCCATTCTTTTGTAGTGTCGAGGTGACGCGTTCCAGTTCACATTCTAGTCTCCGGAGAGCAAATTTGACGAACTATAGCAAAAGCCGTACGGACTTAAGCTCGCTTGTAGTTCGTAGGGCAGCATATATTAAAGTTCAGGTACTGTGCCGTCCATGGTGGTTTCCATACATAGAGCGAACAAGTGTACTGTCTAGCTTTCTCTATAAGATAACATTCAGGAAATGGAAGGATCCGTCAGATTCATTTTCTATCGTGAATTTTTGCCGATAACATTGCAACTTGATCTCCCTTGCTATGTAGCCTATCTTTTCCACAAATTGTTTGTAAACAGCTGATAGCACACAAAATTACTGAATTCAGTAGATCCTGTTAAAATGTGGTTTCTTCTTGCTCTTTTGAAATTCGTGAAGGGAAATGCTTGTATGGAAAGTCCTCTGAGAGGTTGGTTGAACAATGAGAAGCAGTTTGGTCGGCCAGAACCATCGTCTTCTTGCGGACCAGCGATCTCGCTGTTTCGTAGGCCATCCATTTAGACCTTTCGTCGCACGAAAGCATCGACGAAATAGGACTCCTGAGATTGAATAGGTCTGCAGGGTCAGATGGAATTCATCCAGGTATCTTCAATTTTGGATGATTTATTGATAAAACTGTGGGAACAGGAAATTGTCCCAACCGATTGAACCTGCTTCATTATAGTCCCGATTCTCAAAGCGGTCCATGTTCGAAATACACCCACCATAGAAGGATCAGTTTGATCTCCATAGCCACCAGGTTGCTTGCTTCTGTCGTTCTTAATAAACACAACGGCGCCCGTGAAAGATTAGCTAAAAGCAGGCTGAGCCTCGTCAAAATCGAAGTTACGTTGGCTACATGTGCTCTTTTACACCAGCTGTCGGAGTTCTGCCACCGCTCTTAGTCATGTGCCTAGACAGTAAAGGTACCTTCGGTTCGGAGGATCGAGGTGCCAAGGAATCATGCAAGCAACATCAGAGCGCTTTATGCGCGTAGTTCCAAAAGAATGAGTGATTACGGGAAGCTGTCGCCGTCCCTCAATATCTCCTGCGGTGTTCACGGATGTTCACTGTCACCTCTTTTTAACTCCCTTATTGATGAAGTTATAAAAACTGCGTTTATTGGATTTGATTTAAATGAAGTGGAATTGGTTTCTGGTGATAGACTTCTGGATTTGAAGTAGACCGACGATATTACCCTAATCTGTGAGAAGTTACAAACTTCACAAACAGCACCGAACAATATAGCACTGGTTTTCAGTCTTTAAGGACTGTGACTTGCATCCTAAAGATGCGAAGCGTTCTCTTAGTATTGGTGGGGAATAGCTAGAATTCGTTCAAAAATTCAACTTTTTATTATAGCAAAAACTGGAGGCGCTTTTGCTCAACTTCGTCACTTAAGGCGCCGACACCACATAACACTCGCAGCAGCGAAACGTCGGTACTGCTGCCGTTGATCACCGATGGTTTCGAATTTCAGGTCATACTTAGTGGGAACACGACGTAAACAATGATTGTGTTCGTCGCCTTATGGAGCAGGAAGGGCAGGTGATGCGCTCAGCGATGTTATTTTATCCACCAGGCTCCGATGGTCTGGTCATGTCATGTATGACAACACACCGATCTCGGGAAATGCGTTATTTGCGCAGGTGGCGTCCAGATGGAACAGAAAAGAATAGCAGCTGATAATGAACGTTCTCATCTCAGACTTGGATGAACTGGTACTTCTTGACTTGCCGGTTACTGTCCGAAAGACGATGAACACTCCTGGTTGGACACACTGACATAACCAAGAGCCGATATCATAGCGTTCGTGCCGAGTTTATTCGCCCCTTCTCTTACCGCTTGGCCTTCACGTCCGACTATCAGCTGCTTCGCAACGTAAAATTAAAAATAAACAAAACGGAATATTGTGCCTCGTTCATGTTATAATTTGCTTTCGCGACAGTCTGACTGCTGTTTTGCAGCACCATACCCCTGTGTTTCTCAGCTTTAGTTCATGTACATAATGAATGGATCCGTAAGTCGCTTTTTACCATGTCCCCGTATTACCACTAAATGCAGGGTAAGGCTTTTTCTACTAGTTAAAATCAACATCTACATGACAACAAAAGGATAATTCAGTTACCTAACGAAAAGATTTACAGCCCAGGAAGCTCAGTGAGTTTAATTATTGGCGATCAAGTATTCAACTTAAAAATTACCCCGCTTACTTGCTCGAGTCCGGAACGGAAGCCGAACTTTGCGCACAGTTTGTTCTCCTTGTCCCACAGAACTGGCCATTTGGTGGCGCGATATAACATCTTTGACCAGCTTCGTACGATATCAGCCGGACCCCAAGTTACCACCACGAAGTTAACGTTGAACTGCGTGAGATCAGCCTGTAGTATGTGAAGTGTATGAGGGCGTTGATAATCGAAACATCACACAGTCAGGAGAATGCTGGCAGTCTTCAGTCATGATTCTGGCCCCGACATAAAAAGTAATCGTTTTCTATGACGCAATTCATCACTATAATAATGCTTAACAAAGATGGGAGATGTAGACAGAGGCGACATCAAATGAAAAGTAGTTACGACTGTGAACCAGATGGAATAAAATTTAAAATAGCAGAGTTCCGTTGGCTTATCGAAGGAGTTACGCTAGAACAAATCAATAATTTTTGAGACGAAATTTTCGTTCGAGCTGAATGAGCTGTTGAGCAACATCTTGATATCTTTACGCGATTACATGAACTGGCAACTCTGGGTCTTTATCCACCCGAATACATTGTCCATAGTTAAATGACAAGGTAAATTGCGTAACATATGTGGATTAAAAGAATAGTTTGGGCGTGACATAGTAATCAGATAGTCAACCAAACCAAACGTCTTTTATAATCCATCACTTTTCGTTATTCATAGTATACAAATTCATATTTCTACCTCTTTTACTCCCATTTTAGCAGATTCTTGACTTAAACATGGTCTGAAATTTGGTGAAAATGGAGAAATTGGAGCACCGTGCAGTGATCAAGTATGTGAATCACAAAGGAATGTCACCAACTGAAATCCACCAAGATACGCTTAATACATTGCATGAGAATGCCCATTCATATTTTACAGTTAAACGTTGGGTGCAAAAGTTAAACGCGGCAGGGAAAGTAGTAAAGACAAGCCCGGGTCAGGGAGACTATCAACCGCCATTACCAAAGAAAATCTTGGCCTCATACCGGATACGATCGTGCAAGATCGACGATTAACAACCTGTCAGGTAGCAGAGAAGTTGGGCATCTCCCATGAGCGAGCAGGTAATCTGCTAACGAAGCAATTAGGCTACTCAAAAGTTTCTGCTCGACGGGTGCCACGTCCTCTGAGTCCTGAGCAGAAGCGCATTCGACAAGTGATGTCAAAGAAGGATTTGGTATTGTGAGGCAGATGCCGATGAGTTTATTGCACGATTCTTCACTATGGATGAGTGCTGAGTTTACCACTTATAGCCAAAAAGGAAATAAAAGCAATGGAAGCATGCATCATCTACTACGCTAAAGAAAGCCAGCTAGCAAGGTGAGGGCATCTGTATTTTGAGATTCCCGAGATGTGGTGATGACTGCTTTCCTTGTAAAAGGCAATACCATCACCGGAAAATATTAGAGTTTCCGAAACGTCACAGAAAACAAATACGAGCAAAAACCTGGAATGCTGAAGACAGGACTAATTCTTCACAACGACAATGCTCCAGACCACACCTCTTCCGTTGCTCAGGAAACTATCCACGATTGCGGCTTCCAGCTCCGTTCTCACTAACCCTCTTCAACAGATCCGGTTCCCTCTGACTGCCACCTATTTCCAGACTTAAAAATGCTTTTGCTGTCAAACATTTATGCGACGACAATGATGCCATTGGAGCCGCAGAAGTGTTTTTAGGGTCGCAATCAGAAGAGTTCGCCTCCACTGGGGTAAAGGCACTTCAGCACCGCTGGAGCAGGTGTGTTGCGCTTGAAGGTGATTATGTTGCAAAATAAAAACAGTAAAAACTGTAACACGTTTGTTTTTTAAGGCTTAAAGCTTTTCTTTCAACCCACGTAAATGGAACGAATCAAAAAGACATCCAATTAGGATGAAGTAAAAGTCACGGAATTGTTTTATGCATCCCGGATGAATGAATATTAAGCTACAACGTACACGATCCCAGCAATGTAGCAGATGATAAATCAATTACGAAACAGAACCATAAAAAGCGGTTTAATAAACAGGAACGCCATCATATTGTGAATCAGCTGATTAGCTCTAAAATCACACGGTTGGGGCATAGCAAAAAACACGATGCATAAAGGATGACCGACGAGCGATATGCTAGTGTGCAAGCATATCTAAAGTTTAGTTATGCCTAGTAGATGAAGTTGACAAACATTCAGATAAAGCATTATAGTGGGAGTCACTTGCATCCACCAATGTCAGTGACGAAATTCTTACAAAAATGATGTATGTAGATAGAAGTATGTTGACAAAAGTATGCAGGGGAACGCGGCCACATCAGGATAAATGCTTTAATGACGACGTGACAATCAGCTTAAAGTGCCTACTCAGAAGACTAAGGAAACTCATAGGAAAGCAGTACGTCTAATGGGGAAGAACACAGGCATTGATATATCGAAGGATCAACTCACGAGGGACAGTAGAGACTCTTAGACTGGAGGCATAGAAGGGCAACCTGACTTTGATATTTCATCTAAATGATACGTCCAAGATGAATCGTAGTTAAATGTCACCCCTAGGTACCTCAATGATGTATAAGAGTGTAAAATATCGGTGTCAATATGAAGCTTGGGGTACTTCGTGAGGAGCCGATCATATCTGGCTCTTCTGTGTAGCGAAAGAACATGACGATTTGACGTGGGAAAAGACATTGAACCAAACAATGAAATTGGTCAGGTCTCGCAACCTGACTGAGCAATCAGCGGTTCGATGAATGATACACAGGACTATGTCGCCAGCATAATTTAGTAAGGGCGATTCTTCATGATGAGAGTGAAGTACGATTTGATGCAGTAGCCTGTGTGCCTCCGTGATCTATTCGGTTACACCGGTTGCCCCTTTGCAAGTGTGTCCAAGGCCACTCGTCGCAGAAAAAAGGACATTTATAATGAACTGGTAGCTAACGACGAAAGTCCGCTGCCACGCAGCTACCGGTAGTCGCAGTGTGCTAGACACACTGCATTATGTCTTCAGTCTGCGTATAGGTAGCGACTGTGCTACCATCGATCAGCGTCCTCAGCGGCTCCAACCTCGGCCCATACACCGCCTTCAAGGAGTCAAAGAATTCCTTGTGTTGGCGACGTTCGGCGTAGCATTCCATCTGCTTCACCTTCTCTGTTCACCATGTATTTTTAATGCGACGGAGCTTCCGGGTCAGTCGTTCTCGAATTCTGCCAAACTTTCTTCTCTTCCTCAAGTCACTGAGGTCTGCCACATGTGCAGCAAATGCTGCATTCTACTCACACCAATGCGCCAATCATCGCATTGTTGTCATCAAACCAATCGGGCCGCTTACAGTTTGCGCGCCCGATGGTCTTTTCTCGGCAGCAGCTGTCACCTGGTCGCGAATGTAGTGCCACAGGTAGCCCACTGTGGCTATGCACTCCACACGACACAAACGTGCAGCCATCGCCCTCTCCAGCTCAATATGTTTCGCTACAGTACCGAGGGAGAGGAAGTTAAATTCACGCCGATTCACGGTGGGAATGCAATACATGGATGTACGGAAAGATATGTACAGTCTGGTCCGCACCAATTGGTGATCAGTGTCACACTCAGCTCCACGCAGTACACGTGTCATGCGCACTTCACGCATATCACGCTGACGTACGATGACATAGTCGAGCAGGTGAGCGTGACCACTCCGTGGGTGCCTCCAAGTTGCTATATCACTCGCACTCAGTGCAAACCGAGTGTTCGTGATCGTCAGGCCGTGAGTGGCACACAGTGAGAGCAGCCTATCAACTGTTCGCATTCGCTGAACCAATGCCATGTGAACCGATAACATCTGCCCACACCGATGAATCACGCCCAACGCGCGCGTTGAGATCACCCAGCAGAGATAGTCGGTCACTTCTCGCCACAGACCGTATCACGGAGGATAGCTGAGTGCAGAACCGATCACGCATGTCATCAGGATAACACAGGTCGGACTGTACGAGCTTATAAAAGTGGCAAACTTATCTCTTCCGAGGCGTAAGTGAACAGTCATCAGTCGCGCGCTGATGCCTGTTGGTTCACCCACCAGCTTGCCACGGAGGCGATCGGATATTGCAAATCCGACCCCATGTTCACGTGTTGCTGAGGTGGCGTTGCCCACCTAGTAGAAAGTGTAGGCAGCACCTGCTTCATGCAAGTTACCTTGCTCAACGAGCCGGATCTCACAGAGAGCCGCGATATTGATGTTGTATCGCGCCAATTCCATCGCGACTAGTGCAGTGCGTCGCTCGGTGCGCTCACTCGAGTTCCGGTCCAGTAGTATGTGCAGGTTCCAGCACCCGATGCTGAGTGCTTTGCGCGCAGGCATACGATTGCATTGGTGGGCAATCGCACGCGAGATGGCGGTTGTGCTTCAAAGATTCGCTTGAGAGACTCCGCCCGGAGCCTTTGGCTCAATAGCCTGACCTACAAGGCAGTGAGTGATTTGGAGGTTTGCTTGAGGGACTCCGCTCGGAGGCTTTGACCCAACAGCCTGAACTACAAGGCAGTGGGGAGCAGATCCAGCTCGGGAATGTGATTGCAGAGACAGATTGGGATCTGCTTGACGGCCGTCACACGCAGCCTTTGAGGTACTGGAACAATTCATATATGTTTTGCGACCGTAGTAGGATACGCACCGGCGACCACGGCCAGACGCAGGAGGGTTGTGGCAGATTTGCACCAATTTGACCAAGGGCTGTCTGGCTTGAGGCGGGCAGTAACAAACCATTGAACACCTGGAGGTGCCCTCCTACCGTCAGAGACAATGCGTGGCGCTCGTGCTCTACGCCAAACGAGCGGTGAGGTTATAATCGGTAGACCTGATGTCTCACGGCTAGGTTTTACAGGAATGGGCCATCGACCACTTCCTAACCTCCAATGAGGATGGACTATGATACTGGCAAAGCGCCCACACCTGACAGGAGAACGACTCGGGTCCTCAGCCAAAGCCTTCGATTAAATGTACACCCGAAAGGCAGCGAGTCTAGCACATGGTTAGTTCACTGACTCATGCGGATTGGTGTCCCGGATCTTAGCAGGGAGAAGGGCGTAACCCAACGCCCACCCAGCGGTCGCCACGAGGCGTCCAGGACATGAGCCAGTGGCATAACAGTAGCAGCAGTGGGTAGACCATCTGTCAGGATCTAGCCACCACCAGCCTCAGC